ATCGTTTAAGGAGGGTAGACTGTAATTCCCCATTTATTTGTGGTTTATTTGAAGTATTATTATTATTACTATTTGTCTAATTGCCAATTGTTTATTTTGATTAATAATATTAGTATTTTAAAATCAATGTACGTATTTAATTTATATTGTCTGGAGTTTTGTTTGTTTATCGTGCGATCGATTGGAACTGTCGAAATTAGTAATCGGAGAACCCGAGCCCGAGAGCTGGATTTATTTTCGTGTGATTGAATCGGGTCCGATAGCCGAATATATATTAGCGTGCGATTTTATCGAGCCCTAAAATACCCGCGCGAATCGAACCCAAGCCCGTGAGACGATTTAATGTCACGAATTGGCCCAATACCGGTTCGGACCTTTTGCTAAAAACCGGCCCAACAGTTTTTAAAAGCCGGCCCCTCTTTCTCTTTTTCTTTCCGCGTGTGTGTGTTGGGAGGTTTTTTTTTTTATTTATTTATTGTAGATCAAATTTTCCTTAACCTAATTCATGTATATATGTTAAATCGGTCTCTCTATCTCATTCTCTCGCTCTCATAATCCTGCAGCCAGATTTTTCTTTCTCTCTCGACTTCACGTCGTCGTCTTCACCATGCTCCTTCTCTCTGAATTTGTTCCGATCACCCCTCTCGTTTTCTCCTTAACTTAATCTGATCATCGTTCATCAACATCACCCTCGCCGAACCAGATGTGAGGTCTTCACGTTCAGTCCGACCATCCCAGCCATCGTCCCCGCGTTTTCCGATCAGCAGATCGCCACCATTCCCGGCAGCCTTTGTTCGCGCTTCTGTCAAGCCTGCGAGCTCCTCCGTTGCAGCAACTCAGTCGTGAGCCGTTGCCTCCTCGCGAACAGCCGCTCCTCTCCGCTGCACAGCGCCACCACGAGTCGCGATCCTCCTCCTCGCGTCGCCGCGCCAGCAATTCCGGCGAACCTCTTTTTCCCGGCGAGCTCTCCTCCTCCGCAGCAGCACCTCTGACGGGTTGCTTCAGCCATCGCAGCAACCCCACAACCGAGAAGGACCGCCGCTGCTCTCTCCTCGGTGAGCCGCGCGTATCTGTCGAGCCCCGTCGAGCCGTCGAGCCCGTTCGAACCCTTCTCGCCCGATTCCCGAGACGTATCGAGTCTCGACTCTTCGTCTATTTATTTAGCGATTATATGTTATGATGTTCGCAATTTATGTGTTGAAGTGATGTTAACGTGCTTTTTGGAATTGAGAAACTATGAGATTTGATGTGATATTATTGTTCGTTATATTATATCGTCGTGATTTTATGTGAAACTCGTCGATTCGTACGAATCGAGCGAGAACTAATAATAAGTGGTGAGTTGTTGTGGATTTAGGAACTTAGGATTATTTCGAACACAATGGCGCTGACCTTGTGTCGATTGGGCTTGTAAATTGGTAGTTATGATTTTTCGAATGTTATAATTGCTGTATGGAATGAAAAATTCATTATAAATTGAATACTAGTCCGATTGCCTTGCAATTTTAGGAGCAACTGTTTTTGATGAATATGTAGCTGCTGTAAAAGTTTCGTGATTTTTAAAGGTGTTTAGCTATTTTTAAAAATTAAATTGTTTTCTGTTCAGTTTCTTGTAAAATGCATAAGTAATTGTGTAGTGTTCTTTTCTGGCCAATTCTTGAGTATGTTATGTTTCAGGCATGATTATATGTGGTCTAAAAGTTTTAGAATTTTTGAACTAGGTTTGATAGGGTTAATAAATTATTTTGTGATTCTGCCCGAATTTATTTTAATTATGATAAATTTTTCTGAAGTTGAAAAATTCTGAAAATTTGTGGAGATGCTGATTATATGATTTTTAGCATGCTGTAAAATGTTTAGAATTTTTAGAGTTCAGTTGTGATTAGTTCTGATATAATTGTGATTTTTGGCTGATTGTGGTTTTAATTTTATAAAATTGTTATCCTGAGTGTTGAAGGCTGGAAAATTTATGTGATTCTGTTCATATGCTGTAGTATTTTAGATAAATATTTCATAGCCTAAATCGTCCATTATCATGTGCTTTTAATTTAAACTCGTTTTTACTGAAAAACTTGTTTGAATTTTATAAAATTATGCATAAGGAGTTTGAAGCTGAAATTGGGTGATCTTACTTAGAATTAGGATGTGAAATTTATGTTAAAGTTTCAGAACCTAACTCATTGATTTGATATGTCTCCTAATTCAAGTGTGAATTTGAGAAATTGTTTTTCTATGTTGAAATGTGTTAAGTGTTGATGACCAAATGTGCCATGTGTTTTGCTTGTGGCTCGTTTGTTGTCTTTCACTTGCTTTTGTGTGAACTCAAGTATGTGGTTTGATCGAGTCTAAGTCTTAGTGTTCCCATATCCACAGAACTTCACGAACCACTTGGTCGAACCGAGTTCGGCTAAGTCAACTTGTGAAATTGCTACGTAGGTCGAGATTAAAGTGTTGACTTTAGTATCTGGACTTAATGTAGGTGTCGAGAGGTGTTGAACCTCGCCTCGTCTCGAGATTTGTGATTTGAACTGTAGCTGCTATCAGGTGGATACATTTATAATGTATTCCATATTTATCGCATTTCTTATTTCGTGTAATGTTTCTTTTGAAAATTATCGTATGCATGAGAACTCTAGTCTAAGTGTCCCGAACGATAGCGCCTTTGACGAATGCATAACAGTGAGAGGTCACCTGCCCGTTGTATCCGGGAGGAGACGCCCTGATCCGTGTGTGTTTTGGGGGGGAAAAACATCTCCACTGTCTCCTGGAAAACATCCATGATCCGTGAGTAGTTCGGGGTGGGGGAAATTTTCCAGTTACGGCCTTGCCGATGTTTGGTCGGAAGGTTGTTGTATGTACATAGGAGGTTTGCGATAGGGCCGGGTAGGGGGTTTAGGCTATGAATTCTATGCATACCAGTATTGATATTGTACACTGCGATTACTTGTTCGTAAAACTTTTATACGGAATAATCGTGCGATAATGGTGAGCTTGTTGGTTGCTCACCCCCATTATTTTCTTTGTTGTCTTCTCTCTTCCTCTGTTCTAGGTTGAGACGAGCTGGAGGCGGTGGTGTAGGACGAGCGAGATGGTGGTCATTATGTGTCGAAATCTTATGCTTCCGCATGAACTTGCTATTTATTTACTTTGCTATCATACTTTGGACTATTTACTGCTTTCACTTTTCGAACTATGTTTAAGTTTTGGTTGAACCTCGAATTCATGCTAGACGTTTGGGAATGATTTTAAAATTATGATTATTGGGATTGTTATTTTGATAGCTCGAGCATGTGTATGTTCATTGAATTGATTGTTTGGATGTGTTTAATTGTTGTAGTTAGTAAGTAGCGCCCGTTTCTCGACAAATGTTTTAATTTGGATTTTAAAAAAAAAAAAAAAAATAACTCTGGTTTTTAATTAAATAAATTTGGTAAATTCCTTAAAATAAAACGGGGCGTTACACTCGGTCTTGTACTTTTTCTCCAAAGCAGCCCAAAGCTCTTTGGCAGAACCAACCGAGCTGTACACATTGTACAACTCATCACTAAGTCCGTTCAGGACATAGTTACAGCAAAGGTAATCACCTTGCATCCAAGCATCGTACGCATTCCGTAGTTCAGCATTGGTTTCATTTTCATCAATGACTGGAGGATCGTCCTTCAAGTACTTTTCCAAACCCAAGGTGGTTTGGTAAAAGCGCATCTTCTGTTGCCATCTCTTGAAATCAAGCCCGTTGAATTTTTCTGGCTTCTCAGCAATGGGAACATGGACAGCTCGTACAGGATTATTAACAACTGGGTTGACCGGATGCTGATGTTGAGAACCTTCTCCGATGGATGTCATCAGTTCAGTAGGATGACAAATATTCTTCTTGCGATTGATAATTGATAATTAATGGGTATAAAAATACACGGGAATCCTACTAACTGAAATGTAATTTTTCAGTTCTTACAAATAATTTAAAAATAGAAAATTACAATCGAACTGAAAAAATAAATTACAACTGATAAAATTAAATTACAACCGAAAAAAAAAATTAGAAAGAATTTAGCCGAGGTGAGTAAAACTCTTTCCGCAAGAAGAATACGCCCCGTGTGGCTGCTAACGGTTCAGGCATAACTTCCCCAAAGATACAACGCCAAACGTCTCTAAATCTGTAGCACACCAGATTTACGAGCTTCGGCGAACTGGATTGGAATCAAGAATTGAGCACTAAAAATATAAATATTATTTTTTATTTTCTCTGTTTTTCTTTCACTTTCTTTCTTCTGCATATTGTGATTTTTCTTTCTGTCTTCCTCTGCCGAATGAAATTCAATCTATTTTATAGATGGAGCAAGTAGCAGACTCCTTCCTTCATACGCCTTCAGCAAATTAATTGAGTGGTTAGAGAGGAATTGATTTGGACATCTCATAAATAGACATTCACATCTGCCGATTGATTGTGGATGTTGTCTACCACATTTAATACACCATGCAATATGCCTATGACAAACCATCATTTACACTCAACATTATAATAATTAACTATTATAACAAAGAGGTCCTCAACATAAAATATAAAATCCTTGGATCATGAGCTTCAAGTCAAGATGGGAAGTTTGGTTGTCATTTTCGTTTTACATATTTAAGCTTTAACACGTAACAGGACCAAAACAACTATGCCTATAAATCTTTCTTGGGAACACACAGTGACACAAATGGGAAAGAAAATGCAGCCAATCACAAACTAATATTACGAGGATGACATGGAAACTGAGAGACTTACTGCAATCCAAACTTTCGGTTTTGCTATGAAGCTCACAGTTGACTCCACCTTCTATCTACAACAAATAAACCTACCATATTCTCTGATTACTCAAATATCACTCACATAATTTTATTAATATGGTAGGTTTATTTGTTTTATGTAGAAGGTTAGCTCCACTGTGGAGCCAGCTACCGTCCAAACTTTGTTCAACTTGGGAACACAAAATGAAGCACATTAATTGTAAAAACCACTAAACACAACAAAGGGTCTCAACATATTGGAATCCATCTGTACACGAATACCTCAAACGACCAGCTGAATTGACATCGGCGAACTCGCACAGCGTCCCGAAAGTCCCACAAACGACATTATACCGAATGGCTTTTTCAGGAATCTGCACAACCAAGAACGAACCTTCCTCCTTCTCCCCTCGAACTAAACAAAGAACAGAAAATGCATAGTAAGACAAACTCATTGGGCTAAAACCAGCCCGCGTCATACTTGGATAAGCCCTTACAAGAGGCAAAAGATTGACCTTGTACTTAACAAACCACTCAGAATAGTCCCTCCTCATCTCGTACACCTTAAATTGCAAGCTTCGCCTAATATAGTGCAAGTGTCCATAGGACTCTCCGAAATAATAATTGTTTACACGATCCCAGCCAGTAGGAGGAATTGGCATTTCCCCAAACAACTGATTATCAACATTAAAATATAGAGAATCATTTCCAGTTCCATTGCTAGTCCAGTGAATGGCTCCATTCCAATACACCCCATTTTTGAAGCTTACCCGGACTTGTGGGGTCTGCCCGTGATTTCTCCAAGACCCATTTTTCGATGAATAAACCTCAATTTGGCGCTGGTTATGGACGCAAACAACTTTGTAATGAGGAGACTTGATTTGATCAAAAGCCAAGCTCATCCCACGTATACCCGTCGAGTCCAGTTTGGGAAGTAGGACAAACTTATTGGTGGTGGGATTGTGAACATAGTACTTCCGATTGATATCACGGGCCCTGAAGCTTGAACAGAGTAAGAGGCCATTGCAAGAGTGCAGGATCCTGATGCCGGATGGGTCCTTGACGAACTTGAGTTTCCTTAACTGTAGCTTCATTGATTCGAGGCCCGTGAAAGAAAGGTATTCTATCCGAAGACGGGCCACGTAGTGCAGACACTGCAGGAAGAGGCCGGTGGGCGGATTGGGAATGGGATTTCGCTGGATACAGAATCTTGGATTGCTGATGAGACGATGCCACTGCTTTGAAACTCGTCTTAATTGAATGAGGTCCTTTATCGGGAGGCAAAGGAAAATTGCAATTAAGAGATCGTCTATTGAGGCAACAGTTTGAGCTGAATCGTCGTTTGTTCTTGGGACTTTGGGATTGATTTCCATGTTGGTAGTGGTGGTATTGATATATGAGGAGTTGTGTTTCATATGTTTTGTACTCTGGTATTTATAAACTCTCTATGCTTTTGAATGGATAGCTTTGGAAGATAAAACTTGTTATTAATTCAAAGACGAATGAGTATTGAAGAGGTTTTGATAACTAGGGCTGCTTATTGGGTTGGGTCATTATTAAATCATCTCGCATAAAAAGTTTATTATAAAACCATCTCTCTCATCCCATCTTTATAGCTATAGAGTGGATAAATTTTCTGCTCCAATATCGCAACATCTCCACGCATATATCAATAGTGTTTGAGCTACAATTTTTTTTTTTTTTTTCNTAAATGTGTATTAGTAAATATATTTATTATGTTAAATAACCTTTTCACCTAGTGATATATTATAATTTTATTTTGTTTTTACCTTTGCATCTACTCATTCTTTAAAACTTTTTTTTTTAACTTTATTTTAAATATAATTATTTATATTTAAATATCTTGTTATTGGTTTTCTAATATGCGTTTTTTGTAATTAATTACAATGTAAATAAAACAACTAATTAATTGACATAATTATTTTCTATAAAAAATAAGCATTTAATTAATTATCATTCATATCAAACATGACATCCCATAAATATATCATCCAAATGTGAGATTTTTCAAAATATTTTGAAAAATATTTCCAAAGAAAATTAAGAAAACTCCACACAGCATAAGAGATGTAAAGGACTTTGAATAAAAATATGAAATATACAAACTTAAAAGTTTAATATTCATTTAGTTATTAATATTAATTTGTCTAAAGATATATTTTTTCTAAAGCATGATATGTAATCATAAAGTTTTTGGTTAAAAAGTATCCATTTATTGTCAAATCCATAGAACACGAAATAAAAATGTGAATGATTGACATATTATTTTAATGTAATTACTTATACATAGATTAAAAAAAATTTAGGAATGTTTGAAAACTTAACTACCTGATGAAATATATGATTTCAAACAATAGAGATATTATAATCATATAATTTATTTGCTACGTTTATGGTTTGTAATTATCTTCTAATTCCAAATTCTTTCTAAGTGATCATAGTTTTCGGGTATTCTCAGAAATTTTGAGATTATGTAAATTAAGGAGTACTTTAAATTTTTCCTTTTCAGTTTAGTATAGTGATTCCAAATTTTTGGAAAGGTTGATAAATGTTTTAATTTATATATAACAAATATCAATATGGAAATAGGAAAAATATTTTTAATATCTTAAGAAATTAAAATTTAAAAGTAAAAAAAAAAGGAAAAAAGATGTAAGATTATTTTTTTTTTGGTCAAACGATAGATTTCATTAAAAGACAAACACGTAATTACATACTAGAGAGCACCTAAATAGCTGAATAAAACAGCTACTCGGCTGAATTTAGTTCGGAGGACTAACCCCATAGGCATTTAGCCCGAGGTAGCCTAAAACCAACATAAACACAGAAACACCAAACTAAAAAAATATCAGCTCCCAACAAGAGAATAACACAACTCCCAACGGGAGAATAACACTGAACTAAAAACACGCAACTAAGTAAAAACACAAAATACACAGGAACAAAAAGAACACAAATACACACAAATGAAAATCGAAACATGACAAACGCCCTGTTAGAGGTATGTTGTAAAAGCTCGGTTTTGCAGATTCTATCAATTCCATTTTGATCTGGCAATTATGTTTCAGTCAAAGTACATATCCTTGCAGTTTATTTATTTATGCAATCATACTCCTTGTCTTACATTGAGATAGTGTGGTTCGTGGTGTCTCGAACAGAAAGGTCACCTATCGGTTCCTTGTAAGACTAAAAAGATGACGAATGAGTCAAAGTACATATGCTTGCAGTTTATTTAATTATCTTGTAGCCTTTGTCTCGAACAGAAAGGTCACCTATTCGTTCACAATCTAGACATGCAGTGAGACCCCTCTTGGAAAAAGATTGTAGTGTATTCTTGATTCAATTGTCTTTGACTGGAGAACTACACTAGTATTTATGATAAGTATTGAACAGGACCATGGAAGGATAACATAATGCAACTCACTGATCATTATTGTAATCTAGACCTTCAGTTATTGATGTTTTCTCTAAAGATGTAAGATAATACAAAACAGACATATGTATTCATTACTTGTTTATTTGATTTACTAAGGGTGATTCCTATTCTGTTAGGATGACATACTCGGTACTTTGGTAAATGAGAGTGCTTATATAATGTGCTGTTATAAATTATTTACGGTCACTACGTCCCAGTGCGCTGGGTTGATGACGTCCCTGAAATGAGCTCAGGAAGGAATATTATGTCAAGCCCTGGAGGCGGATATGTGTTGAAGTATACTGTAAAGCAAACTTTTATGTGAGCTTTTAGATTGTATTTAATCGATTTTCCATTTAACTGAAATAAATGTTTTCACATTGTTGCATTCTTTATGATTGCTTGTATGCTAAATGTCTAATTATCTTATATTGTAGACAATATGGTGTGTTAGTAGTCACACAGAAGATTACATTGTCGGTCCCTTATAAGATATAAATGGTATTCACAACTGAGATAGTTATGGACATGACTATTGGTGTAGGTTGTAGTATAAACTGGATGTAGCTTGTCTTGGCTATTGGTTTATACTAGTGCGCTGCGTCGCGTTGAATGGATCACAGTGGAGACGTCTTCTTCTGTTCTGACTATCATGAAAAACCAAGGTCTCAGTGACTCTACTAATTCTTAACCCTAACTGTGATACTTAGATATGTGGGATATTTCTCTGTTACTTTGATTTACCATGGGTGAGAACCAAACATTGGTTCAATATGCTCCGTATCTTGGGTAACAATATTGTCCGCGTGATATCTATTTATTGGCATTAGGGAACCGTGTCCTGGACATCCAGGTTGATGACGTCCCCTCAAGGAACTCATAAGGATTATCGTATCAAACCCTGCAGGTGGATTTAATCCGTACGATAATAAGGTTGAGTGGTACTACTTAAGGAATAAAAGATATTAATTAATTAAAGCAGTCAGAAGCTTTAATTATTAATGGACGTGCGAATCTTAAACACGGGGAATTATATCGAGTCTAATAGAAGCCCTGATTCATTTCGGGATAGGACGGGAGTGCAATATTAATTCTCTAATGGAATGAATTAATATTTACGGGACAAATTGTGTCCTGGGCTGAACATATGAATTTGGGCCCATAGGAAGCCCAAACCCTATACCTTCTAAGAGATCCCTAGTCTGGCCCAAGGACCTCTATAAAATGGGGGATTACACATCTTGAACTCTACGCATTACCACAGAACGTGACATTCTTCAGCCACCATCGTGGAGAAGTAACGTGAAGGGTTCAGAGAAGACGAGACGCAATCCTCTCGTTTCAACTGTTTGGTAGATCGTCAATTTTATAGACTGTAGTAGGGCTGTTCTTGTTCTATTTTTGCTGTAATTATGTGTCCAAAGTCGAAAGTAATGAAGATGATCAACTTGGAGGCAGCGGCTAGGGTTTCAGCATTCACCGGAGGCATTTTCGTCGGCAAAAACTGTTTTGGCCATAACTTTTGCTACAGGTGTCCGATATCAGCCCATAATACCATTTCGGAAATGGGAGAACAAGATCTACACAATTTACAGCTATGCTGTACCAACCTGTGGCGGGGTCAAATTCTATCGCCTAGATGAAGTTTTCAACCCCTTTCCGTCGGTGGTTGTCGATATCGCATGAATGGCCCGATTTACGCCAGAGGCCGATTCGAGTGTTCATGCACGACCTCGTTGAATCATGTAATAGCTTTGATAGGCTGTTAATGGTTGGTTTTTGAGGGGCTGCGATAGATGTGTTTAAAATTTTCGCATTTTATCGCTTTGTAGATGCCGATTTAATTCTTGCTAGATCATGATTGTGTGATTATGTGTCTACTTGTTTTAAATCGTTTTTTCTGGCATGCTAGAAATCATGTAAATAGGTGCTTTTAATTCTTACAAAGCTGTTATTGCTTTTATTTGAATTATAGGAGCATGCTATGTGATTTGCGTATTAGGAGCATGCTAGGAATTTTATTATTTCTTGTTGCATGCTGGTAAAACCTTCAAGTAAAAATGACTAAGTGAGTTTAATGTGAATTTTAATTAATTCATTTGGCCTCTATAATTGGTCTCTAAGTAAGGTGTTTGACGCTCGCGGGACCCTGAGTGTCTCCCCCTAACGGATGCGACATACGAGCTTACTAGATAAGACTTCTATTCAAACGACTTGATATTTAAGTGAAGTGAGTGGCATACGCGTGACCCATGGGGTCTCCTCCCTAACGGATAGTGTCATTCATAAGTTCATCGGTAAAGATTATTTAGAGATAACTGAAGAAAATTATTTACAAGCGATGTGTCTTCCCCATCGGTAAGTTCATCAATTGTGGATGATTGTTCTTGGGGTTAAATTGTGGACATCACTTAGATGTGAATTTTAATATAACTCCCCAACAGAGTCCATGTTTTCATTCACATGGCCAGTGTTGAAATTTCGACTATTAATTTCATTCGCCATAAGGACAGTTTGGCGTGCAATTAAGATTAATGACTGGGTGTCTGCTTGATGGACATATGTGTAAATGTCCACCCTAACGTGGCTTGCATGTGTGTTTGTTTAAGTTGTTGAAGGATGCGATAAATAATGGTTTTGAAGGTTTTCATATTTTATGCTTCAAATTTATGTTCACTATTGCTTACGTGTTTGCAATTATTTATTTCAGTTATTCATCATGTCATTCAATCCGCTTTTGACCATTCTCAATCAAAACAAGCTTACTGGTCCAAATTATTTGGACTGGAAGAGGAATATGTATATTGTCCTTGTTGCTGATGAGTACAAGTTTGTGTTCACCACACCTGCTCTTGCTCCTTTGGGTGCCGCTCCCACCAAAGATGAAAGAGAGGTTCATCGGAAGTGGCATAAGGCTGATGAGATGGCTCATTGCTA